CTTTTCCCTGCCTGTACCCATCTTGCTTCCTTTTGGTGTTCTGCCAAGTCTTGCATTGCTTTGAATGTGCTGTGCTTTTCTTTCAACCCTACCTCAGGGCTTTTGCTCAGGATCTGTTTCCATGTAGAACCCTCTTCCTCCCCACGTTCAGCCTCCTCTTTTAATTTGGGTAGCTCAAATTCATGTTTCAAGTTTGGCCCCATTAAATACTTCTTCTAGGGAACCTATGAGCTCTCTAGACCAGTTCATGACTCTTATAGGTTGTTTTGCTTACTTTTGTTTTTGTTTAGACCCCTCAGCATATTGGTAAAAGAATGGGCTCTGGACTTGGACCTGCTGGTGTAAGGTTTAGCGAAAGGAAGACTACCACAGGGTTCCAGGCGGACCTAACACTTGATTCAAGTTTTGGCTCAGGGAAGCTATCTCAGTTATTTTAGTATTGTACTAGTAATTATGTGTTATACTAGAACCACTTCGTTGAGGTTAGTAGAAAATTTTAATTAATTAATAGAGTCAGTGCTCATCTCAGAGACTCAAGCATAGTAAGTGCTGGGGAAAGAGATATTAGCATTACGATGACTCTCCTTGGAGCACTTCCTGACCACAGCTCCACCGTGAACCAAGGGACTGGTGATTTAATGCTGTTTCCTTCTGCTCCATTAGCTCCTCAGCTCCATGGAGACAGTCACTTCCTGCACCTGGCACTTGGCAGGACTTTGTAAAATGTGTGTCCAGGCACTAATGAGTGGATGCGCAAGGGGATTGGTAAAAATACGTCATGAAATACTCGTGATAACAAATGTAGTGCTAGCAGGCATGTTCAGGGTCTTCGTTGCAATGGGGTTGGGGTTGGGGAAGCTCAGGAGCTAGAGATGAATTATAGCTGCAAAGACCAAGACCTGTCGCCTGGGCATTGGCGGAGTAGCATTTGCACAAGCAGCAGACGCCTTGGACCCCAGGGTCAGAAGGGGTAACGATGAACAATCCAAATATACGGCAAGGTTCACCGGCTCAACACCAAAACAAAAGAGCTTGACAATATTGGTTCTTCTCCATGCCCAGGATTTGGTCTCCAAGATGGATTTTCACACCTTCTTCCCTCACTTGTACATGGGCACTGGGAAACCACTGGCGCCATTTTAGATGGCGGAACAGCAGAGCGACTTCTACAGTGAGCCACCATGAAGGTTTTGTTAGATGCACATGCTCTTAGAAATAAGATCCAGGCCACAGAGCAGCTGGAAGGCCAGTGTGTATGTGTGGGAAACTCCTTTTCTGAAACCAGTGAGAGACCAGACGGGGGTGCCTCATGAAAAGAACACTTCGGGACGTGGAGCGGAGGTGAAAAAAAATGGCCCCAGTTTCCATGGTACCTGTGAAGCGAGGAAGAGAGTTGGAGATGGGGTGAATGAATGCACGATGTGGATAGAGTTACTAGACTCACTTGAGTGAGGTCCACTGATTTGAAGTTATCTGTGAGGAGTTTGATGTTGTTGAACAGTAATGGGACCCCCTTCAGGGAGTGACACATACCTCAGTTTAAAAATCACTGAGATCTAGCAAATCTCTGGCCTCTGGGATACAGAAACAGGCCCAGAGCAGTGAAGTAACCCACTCTACTATCACACAGCTAGTTAGGGCCCGGGAGAGGATAGAATGTGTGTTTCTGCTCAGGTGTCCACCTGGAGAAAAAGTTCCATTTACTCCTGCCTATATTCCACTAAGGAGAGCATGTAGTTCACCTGGTACCCTATCCTCAGTGGAATAGAACACTTGGTTTATAATCTTTTTTTAATTTTTTGCCACTTTCACATATCCGTGTGTGGCTGAAGCGAGCTACTCACAATACTTCTATTTCCATATGTGGCAAATAAGAATAACTTAGTGGTGAAATGGGCCTTCGGCGGCCCCATTTTGCCACTGAACAATATGGCAGTCGGTCACTGGACCTCACGGGTGGGTGGGGCCGGGTCGTGAGAATGCAGGATCCCTGTAAATTCAGGAGGAGCCCATTTCTCCTCCTCTCTACCCCCTGCCACATCCTCAGCCCAAATGAAATCGGGGTAGGCCCGGGCGGCTGAGGGGTGATAGAACAGTTGGGAGAACCACTGAATTTCAGCAGTGGCTCTTGGAATGTCACCATCCATAACCACAACCCAATGCCATGAGCAGCGTTATCAAGTGGAGCCCCGCCCCTCTGCCTCCCAGGGCAATGCTGCTGAGAAGATGGTGGCCTTTTCCTGGCCTGTGGTGTCTGCCTGCTTTCTTTTCCTCTCCCTCTTTTGACTCCACGGACAGGAAAGCAGAGTCAGAGGAGACCAGGGCATGGTTCAGCCACCCAGGGTCCATCCTGGGAATTAGATCATGTTTCCCAGCTTTCTCAACAATGTAGACAGCTCACACTGATGAGTGAAGTGCAGTGGAATGTCCACCCTTTTCATTTAAGTGGAAAAATAGTGAACGACATCAGATACATTTTTTTGGTCTCTCTCTGCCTGTTTTTCTCAACCTTTGCCTTTTACTCCAGGAATTTGAGAATGAATATAATAAACATCTCAGGCTTTCAAAGTAAAGGCACCCTAATGAACACACACTGCCTTGATTGTGTATGTGTTCCTTACTTTTCTTGTTGTTGTTTGCTGTTCACTTGTTTAGTTTTTTGGACTTAAAGACTGAGAGCCTACAAGACAAGCTCTCTACCTGTTGGGCCACAGACCCTTTCCTAGGTCAGTGTAGATCATCTTTTCCTCAGTACTAAATTATAGTCAGCACTGGCTCGCTTCTAGAGGAGGATTTCTGAGAGGTGGAGGGCTGCTGTCAGATTGCTGGTGTAGCTCAGAGATGTTCAACTTCGAGTCTCTCGCCCATGCAGCCTCAAACCTGGGAATCGGAAGTGCTTCCCACTAGGTATGTTGTTGCCGTTGGTCGAGCCCTAATGGTTGTACATCTCAAAGTGAGGTGTTCTCTTTTCTTCCAAGTAGACTCAACCCCAGCTATGTGGCTGGTACCTTTAGTATTTTTTTCATGGTTTTCATGGTAGAAGGAAGATTTTTTTTTAATGAGATCTAGCTTAGGAGATGCAAAGGGGTATGGTGAGCACAAAGAAATATGGCAGGTGGAATGGTATTGTCCATTGGCCCATGTGGAAGGGCTAGATATGACATTTGAGAACACTATATCTGACAAATAGAGGAGAGGAAAGGGGATAGAAGGGGAGGGGAGGGGATGGAAGGGGAGGAGAGGGGAGAAAAGGAAGGAACAAACAAGGAAGCAAGAGAAAGAAAGAAAGAAAGAAAGAAAGAAAGAAAAGAAAGGAAAAGAAAAAGACAGGAAGAACAAGCCAACATCAACAAATGGTCTAAAGATAGGTAGGGTGCCTGCCTCATGAACTGTTCCATTACTAAATCTCATGCCCTTAATTAAGTTCCTCAGTATGGAACTAACTGAAATACCAGTGCAGTAACTACAGCATACATAGTACAGGACATATAACTAGTATATATAGTGCAGTAAATTAGGATCTGAAAAGATTAAGTTATCTCCTATATACCTGATTCACCCCAGGACAGATGCTCTTAGCTAGATAAACCAACCAAATGCTTATCCAAAAAGGCTTTCAAATTTCTGGTAAACTTCAAGAAGCCAGTGACTTGCTGTAATATTTCCACAGCAGATGCATCTGGTCTTAAACCTCTATTTGCATAACTGAGATTACTAAGCATTTTTCCAAATCCACTGATGGCTGCAGAATTTAAAAAATGTGTTTGATGATTGCCGGATTACCCATCCTGAGTCTGTTTTCCAAGGCCTTCTGCTTTCCTGGGAAAGAGGAAAAGGCGGCGGATGGTAGCTGGTGATTGAAATACAGTTCCCCTTGGCTTGCGCATCTTGGTCCCGTCGGTGCAGTCCTGCGCAGGGCTCCCTGGGTTGCCTGTGCCCTTCCGCGGGGGCTCTCCTTCCTGATGTCTGCCCCCCACATTCCACTGACGACCAGAGTTCATCACTGGAACTCTTCATGGCTTTTAATCTCATCCAAACCTCAGAGAACTCTGAGACAATCAGGGAATACTATCATCCCCTTTTTACGGGAGGGAAAACTTGAGTGCAAAGATGTATAAGGGCAACGTGACTTATAGTAACCCCAGCCCCTAGCTTTTCTCTCGATGTGCTGATCTTTTCACAAGAATTCATGGGCAAAGGAAAGCCAATGGCAAAGAACTTGATGCCAAATCGACAGCCTCAGTCCCCAGATTAAGGGTTTGGATAATTCTAAGAAGTGTTCTACTTTTAAATGAGCCATGGATAAGATTGTTGTAAAAATTAATACATCCAATGGAATATAGTATGATATTAACATTCCATGGTTTGTCTAATTAAATAAAGTTACAAAACAACTTGAACTTGGAGTTCAAGGGTTTTCAATTCTAATATGGTCTGATCCCATTAATATGTGTCATGAGGCCAATCTCCTGGGTTGCTTCCAGAATTAAAAAGACAAGTATAGGGTAAGTTAGGATAGAAAAGCATGTGAGAATGGAAATTAAATCAGCAGAGCACATTACACATACCAAAAGTGAGGGGTGTTTTCTTGTCCCTTCCTGCACACATAATCTGGGTCCTGGATCACAACACTAATTGTCTTTCTTACTGAAAGTAGCCATTCCCTTCTGCTTGTTTGCCTTCTCTGTCCATATTTTCCCTTCTCTTTCTTTCCGACTCCCTCCTCCCCCGCTTTTCCCATATATATTCCATGTGCTCAGACATCTGCTACCTTCGATCTACTGAGATGCAGGTGCCATCTTTAGCCACGTCCCATCTCCCGGGATGTAAGCATCTCCTCACCTGAAGGTCATGGGCAGGAGCTCTATCAAGCTGATTCCTTTGTGCTTTACTCTTTCTCTCATATTATGAAGTATGGCCTTCAGGACAGGACTTGCTATTTCTGCCCTCATTTATTAAATAAAATTCTCGATCTTTAACTCACCGTATTTCCATTTCAGGCAAAAACAGTTCAGCCCTGGAGAAATGAAATCCCAAAGGAGAACCACGCTGTGCTTCGTGTTCATGATGATTTATTCTTCCAGAGCTATCCTTGACTTGAACCCAGAGCCTGCCGTCCATCCTTTGGTGAGTAAATCCATGTCCGTCATAATCTCCCAGTCACATTTCTCTGACTTCCTGAGAACGTCACAGACAGGAAAACAGTTCTTAAACCACGGCAAGGAGGGAGAGCTTTGTGAAAATGTTGCAAAATGTCCATACATGGACATCAGTGTATTGAGAATCCTATTGGTTTCAAGGTTAATACTCACACTGCCTCCTTGACTAACTTGCCACCTCTAGGCAGAGGATTAAAATGGACAATGACCATGAAGTAGGTTTGGAGGACCGTGGGCAGGATGCATTCGCAAAGCAATCCTTCTAACATGAGCATCAGCCACAGGTCGACGTGGACTAAGAGATGACAGATAGCATGCAAGACAGATGAGCTGGGTGTTTCGTGTTTAGAAAGCCATTGGGGCTTCCACTTACACAAGGGTGATCCGTAGCCTCAACCTTCGGGCATTGCTGGGTTATTCCTTACCTGGTCTTCTCCATGGATCGGGGGTAGGGAGGGCCCCTGCTGGGAAATTGTTTGAGAGAGGTAAGCCTGCCTCTCAGTTTCTTTGTCTGTCATATTGTGTGAATAGTATTACTGGTTGCCTATGATTATTGTGGAAATTAAATTAGCTAATATTTGCAAGAGGTCCTAGAATGCTTCCTGGCAAAGAAGCAATACTACGTAAGTATTTGCTATTTTTGATTCCCTCATTCTAATAGTGTATTTCTACGGATCCTTGTTTCAGGCACTTGGGTTATGTTTTATTGAGCCCACTAGTACATTTATATTTCATCCTTTGTCTTCTATTCCAGTTGTCAGTCCTGGTTTGCCTGGTTTTCCTCCCTTTTCTTTCAGCCTTTCATAGATCACTTTGCTTTAACGTCCTTTTGGTAAATAACATGAGTTTGACGTCATGTTTTTTCCCCTATTAACCTAACATAAACAACTGTTATTTGTTTCAAGGAGTATAAACTATGTATATGCAGTATCATATTTTTAAATACTGGATCTTACTTTCAGGATTTTTGTTTCATAACTACCCACTTTTCCACTTTTTCTGGTTCTTTCTTTTTGAGGGGGGTTCACTGTTTTTATTTCTCTCACCATTTGAGAGGTACACATTGTATCTCTCCTCTCCGCAGCTTCAGCATCTAGGCCTACCTAATTGTATGGAACAGCCTCCTCCTATAAGGAAGGGAAGAAAACTTGTACAGCTCATCTCTGTTTCCATGGGTGGCTTAGAGTTCTGTCTATTCCCGGTGTGTGGGAGGAAGTAGAACTCAAGGCGATCTCTGGCACGGTTATCTTTGCCTCTGTTTCAGAGTCTTTTGCTCTTCCTGACTACCCTGTACCTTCTCTGTTTATGGTGGCAGGGTCCCTCCACTGCCCGGCTATGCAGCTCAGGGGACTAGCCCATGACCGCTGAGGTGGATAGTAAAATTTAGACTTCATCTCTGAGAAGCTCCTACTCCCCACAGCTAGGGACTCTTCCTTTTCTTACTTAGATCTACCCTCCAAAATATGGTGTCTTCATACAATTCAAAGGCTACAGCCAATCATACACAGCCGAATACATAGCCCAGCATGGCTGCCCAGATCCCACAACCAACTTAAACACAGCATGCTACAATAAGCTTTCTTCTCAATTATATTAAATTTCATATAACGAAAGAAATTGCTACCATAAATGTTAATTATTTCCACACCGCCACATAGACAATCTCCAGACTTCTTCATCGGACAAAACTGGAAACCCTACTCATTCAACAACAGCTCTCCACTTCTTCCTTCCCCAAGTCCTGGCAACCACCATTTTCCCTTGTTTTCAGGGTAGTCAGGAAACAAAAATCCTGAAAATAAGATGAAGTATTTAAGATAATGCCACATGTAAATAAATTACACTCTTGGGAACTCAGAGAAGCAAATCATACGACACTGATCTTTTGGAGCTGGCTTGTTTTGCTTAGCACTATGGCCTTAAGGTCTGCCATGTTGTGGTTTGTGTCACAAGCTTCTTCCTCTTGTATCTATGCCGAGAGACCCCTGTTGCTTAGCCATTCACTCCTTGATGGGTGCTGAGGTGGTTTCCACTTCTTGGTAACTGTACATAATTCTGGAAAGAGCATCAGAGAGAGGAAGTGTTGGGCTTTGGAAATATTATAAGGTAGCCTGCTGTCAAACTCTCCAGCCTGTGGAAGGCCTCCGGGGACCTTCATAAAGTGTTTAAATTTCAGCTTGACGAGTGTGAGTGGGGTCTTCCTGGCAACACGTGTCTGCTCCAATGAGTACCAGCCATGCCCCAGGCTCTACATCCAATGTTGGTGTGAAGCAGGGCTGAAGTCCTGCTCTTCCATGCAGAAGTCTTGGAGACTTCATTAAGTTACCTTATCTTGCTGAGTACAATGTGAATTGGTGGTACATTCTTTGCTGGCTTATTGTAAATATTAAGCACCCTCATCCCTGTGTACCTTAGCATAGTGGTTAGCCCAGATCCAAAGCGTTTCTTGATTTATAGTTGTTTTTAATCTAAACATAAAGACACAATAGCACGACTCTTGTTGTTCCAGGAAAGAGGAGAGAGTATGGTAGGACTGCCCCCTCGTCTGCCCCCTGTTTTTCCAGGGAGTTTTGTTTTGTAGGCATCCAAAGCTACCTGTCGCTCTTGACTGATCACCTGTCCCACATTCCAGCCCACCCGGCTCCCCTCTGCTCTGCATTATCAGCCTTCCTGTCTGAGGCGGGGCACTTCCTGGCATTGGTGAGACCTTGTCTCCCCTGGCTGAAGCTCGGCCATCAGGAAATCCCCTCTGGACAGAGCGGGCTGTGGTGGCTCAGGTCGCCATCTGGGACTTCTGCAGGGAGCACACCGAGTGGGGAGGGACAGCTCTGTTTTCTTGTCTGTAGTAATTACCCAGCAGAGCCTTATGAACCCATAGCAGGCCCGGGTTCCCTGATTCTACCCAGAACCCAAAGTCTGCGGTCTCACAGGCAGGGGAGACCTGAAGATCCAGGGGACCAGGGCTGGCTCCCCAGAGGCCCCAAGCCAGCCAGATGGGCCCCAGGCAACACCCCACGGCCTGAGACGGCAGAAAGCCCTTGCTGTGGCTCTGCACATCTAGCTGGTGGCTCACGATGGATGTCAGAACCTGAAGCTGAGAATGAGCGAGTGGCTTCTCCGGACCCCACGACCTGGCAGTCCAGCTCTGTACCTTCTCAAATCTGGGGTGATCAAGTATATGTACCGTGACCACCCCAGCCTCTGGAGACTTTCTGATGTCCATGTGCCTTTCCTCCATTATTATCTCTGATGACTGTAAGCCTTAAAAGAAGATGCATGTGAACCCTAGAAGAAACTGAGCCCACAAGCATTAGGAGAGGCAGAGGGGTAGGCACAGCACTTCACAAACATGTGCCCAGAAGGTTCTAGATGACCACCGTAAAGATTCAAGAAATCGGGCTGGGAATGTGGCTTTGTGGTAGAGCGCTTGCCTAGCATGTATGAAGCCCTGGGTTTGATTCCTCAGTATCACATACACAGAAAAAGCCAGAAGTGGAGCTGTGGTTCAAGTGGTAGAGTGCTAGCCTTGAACAAAAGAAGCTCAGGAACAGCGTCTAGGCCCTGAGTTCAAGCCCCAGGATGAGCAAAAAAAAAAAAGATTTAAGAAATCTTCAAATAGCAGCTTCTAATCTCTCTAAGCAAATCAGATGGGGGAGGATGGAGAACAAAGGATTCTGTTCTCACAAGGAGTCAAAGGAACTGAGATGTACCTTGATTTTGACTTTCTACAGACAGCAGTAAGACTTCAAATGTTTTAGTCCCACTGGAAAGCAGAGAGAATGAAAACTTGACCTTGGAAAGCTGGGCAGAGATGACCCTTAGGGGTTCCATTCTCCCGGACTGAGTCCACCCCAATCTCAGCTGAGGATGTAGATGGAGAAGCCTCTGTGTCCAGTCTCTTCCTGCCTCCAGTCCCAGGCACAGGCAGGAATGCAGGAAGAGCCTTCTGTGCCAGGGCCCGGGGCCAGAGCGGGCTGTAGGGGAAGTAGACAGGAACCACCCTATATATTGACTTTGTACCTTCAGTTCCTGTGCGTTGAAGTTCCTCTAACATGGCCTCACAGCCAGAAGGAGAAGCTGGGCTTGTGAAATTCCAATCATCATCCATCATGCCTCTATTTATTCCTTGAAGAACCATGTCTGAACTCTCCTGTGCACAGCACCTCCTGACTTCCTGCTTCTTTAACTTGTCTGCCCTCAGGTTCTCAGGAGGGGACCATTCCTGCACAGTTGACATGCAGAGGGGTAATGGCTCTTGTCTGATAATTCTTTAGGTGTGTAACTGAGGAACAGTAGAGGATGATCCAGGGATGTCGTGTTTGTAAAGAAGGAAGGGTAGACCTCAGTGGATAGAGAAGACATAGGAAAAGTAGAAAGTGGGCCTTGGGATGTGGCTTAGTGGTAGAGTGCTTGCCTAGCGTGCATGAGTCCCTGGGTTTGATTCCTTGGTGTCGCATAAACATGCAAAAAATACTAATAATAAAAATTAAAAGGGGAAAAAAGGTAGAAAGAAAAGAGAGAGCCCAGGTTGCCTGAGGAGGTAAGTCCCCCTGAGAAATGCAGGAGAGTCTGGATCCCGACTCTGCCAGTGACTTGACACCTGGTCTGGCATTTCTCACTGGTGAGCTGAGGGTAGCCGTGGCACCCATCTCCTGGATGACGCTGGCTCCCAGTGTGGAACAGATCCGAGGAGTTCTGTTTGTTATTGTCATGACTGCTCTGGCTGGTCAGCAGTGGGGTCCACAGGGAGCAGAGCCAGTTCGGTCCTGGGCTGTCAGAAAGGAAGCCCCTCTGTGGGCTGGGTCATCTGGGGAGGCTCCGAAGAAGAGGTGGCCTGGAAGGGAGCTGGCGCTGGAAAACCTACCTGTAGGTGGGAAGGTTAGGTTGGGAAGGCCGAGTGAGGGCAAGTAAGGGGTAAGGCTTGGGTAGCAGCTACCGAGCCACCGATCTCAACCAGGTACTGGGAGAATGGAGAGGAGGTTCATAGAGAGGAACCAGGCACTGGGGTACAAAGAGATGTGGATGGTTATCTCAGAATGGGGTATGCCTATCCCCAAATATTCTTACTGTGGAATCAGAGCTGTTCCCGGCTATCTGAGGAATCATTTGGTTTGTACAATGACCTTAGGAAGTGGGTTCTATTGATCTTCATGTTATTAATTAGGTCTAAGGCATAGAGAGGTTGAGTAGGCCACCCAGTCATTTTTATAATGGAGCTAGGATTTGAACACAATACTTGCCGAGCCTTGGCTGGAAGCTGGGGTGGAGAAGACTTTCCCAACCTTGGTAGACAACTTCCTAAGATGATTTTCTTTTCTTCAGAGTCTCCATGAACATGAACTAGAGGGTGAAGAACCCCTGAGGCAAAAACGAGCAGGTATGTGGAACCCTGGCTTAGCCATCTCTTCCGTCAGTCCAGTCAGATGACACATGTTCTAACCTTTCAACACTGTGATCCTTATAACTCAGTGTCTAGGCACACTGGGGCCAGTCTCATTGGCAGCAGCATCGCCAAAGGTGATGTGAAAGGTTCTCCACGTTCTATGCGTCAATGGTGTTAAGTGGCTCATCCTGACACACTGCTGTTTCTCTTCTTTCCTGTTACCACCGCAGGATCCTCAGACCTCAGGATTTCCTTTCCTCAGGCCGGCCCCTGTCCATCTCTACCCCAATTTTAAACTACTGCCACTCAGCACCTTATTTTGAATCAATCTAATCACTAGGCTGAAATCCTTTTTTGCCATTCCAGTTTTCCCATTAAATTCCAAAGACATTAGCCCGAAAAATGCAAGGCTCTGTCCTGTGAAGAGTGCAGGACAAGTACAGAATTGTGATGGGTGACATTGATAATCTGATGTGGTTCCCCTCCCCTCCTTTTTCTGCCCCTCTCCTGCCCTCCCCTGCCCTCCCCTCCCCTCCCTTTCCCTTCTCTTCCTCTGCCCTCCCCTTCCCTCCCTTTCCCTCCTCTTCTCTTCCCTCCCCTCCCCTCCCTTTCCCTCCTCTTCTCTCCCTTTCCCTCCCCTCCCCTCCTCTGCCTTCCCCTCCCCTCCCATTCCCTCCTCTCCCCTCCCCTCCTCTTCCCTTCCCTTCCCTCCCCTCCCCTTCCCTCCCCTCCCATGCCCTCCCCTGCCCTCCCCTTCCCTCCCCTGCCCTCCCCTCCCCTCCCTTTCCCTTCTCTTCCTCTGCCCTCCCCTTCCCTCCCTTTCCCTCCCCTCCCCTTCCCTCCCCTCCCCTCCCTTTCCCTTCTCTTCCTCTGCCCTCCCCTTCCCTCCCTTTCCCTCCTCTTCCCTTCCCTTCCCTCCTCTCCCTTCTCTTCCTTTGCCCTCCCCTCCCCTCCCTTCCCCTCCCCTCCTTTCTTTCCCTCTTTCTTTGGTTTAGTCTTCACCTTGTTATCCCAGTGTTACCCCACTTGCCCTTCTTCTTCCTGCAACCCAGTCTACTTGCTCTAAAACAAGCATCATTATCCTCATAACCCCATGATGCCTCTTGTACACTGTGTTAGGCACAGAGCCAAACGTGCTGATTCACATTTTGAAAGATGATGATGATGGTGATAATGATGATGATGATGATGATGATGATGATGATGGTTTTATGACACTGGGGTTTGATCTCTGGGTTTCCCATTTGGCTATAAAAGCATTCTACTGATTGAGACACACTTCCAGCCCCCACATTTTCAAGGTGAAGTCTTGTTTTATGCCTAGGATGGCCTGGATTGCAATCCTCCAACTTGTGCTTCCCCTAGAGCTTGGACAACAGATGCATGCCACTGTACACAGCCATCAAATGAGATGGAGTCTCTTAAACTTTTATACCCTGGCTGGCCTTGAACCTTGAACCCCCATCTCTGCCCTCTAAGTAGCTAGGATTACAAGCCTGAGCCACTGAACTCAGCATTTTTTATTTCTTATTAAAATCAAACTTGGTGGAAGAATCCCTCCCACCCCAGGTTTCCATCAAGTTCTCCCTGGGCCCAGGCTGTGGGCTTCCCAGAGGAGCTGTGAGGGTCACCTCTTCCCAGACTTCTGAACCCACCTGTCCGTACCCATGGTGACAGAGTGGGGTGGTAGCTGTCTAGAAATATGACATTCCAGGAAATTTCCAAGCTGGCTTCCTTGCAAAACAGTCCTGAGAGTGATAAATCACCGCGAGGCAGGTTTTCCACGTATTGTGGGTGTCCTTCTGTTCCCTGAGCTTCTCAAGGCATCTGGGAAGTGTGAATGAATCAGCCCATCCTCTGCACAAGATGGATTGGCCTTGGTACTTTTACAACATCACTCATGTCAGAAATGGCCACCGAAAGGCCCGGTGTGGGTCCCTGAATCACAGGGACACAAATGACAATGAGGACAATGGCTGTCCAGGAAGATGACCGAAGAAAGCAGGAGGAGGGTGACACCAAGCAGAGCACGTGTGAAGGACTGTGCTCCCAAGTCAGCCAGGATGAGAATGCAAGACCCTCTTGAAAAAGAAAGAGAAATTACTAAACCCAAAAGGGCTTGGGGGTGTGACTCAAGTGGTAGAGCACCTGGCTACCAAGCCTGAGGGCCTGAGTTCAAACCCCAGTCACACGGAAAGAAAGGCGCAAGGACCTGGTTCATCTGTAAAGAAAGTGATCTGCCAGGACCTGTGGTCTCCTAGGATCGCACAGTTCTGAGCTTACTGGGAGGAACATCTGCAGGGCTGAGGCTAGAGAGTCCCCATTCGTTATTTTCTGAGAGGAGTGAGTGCTGGGAGGAGACAGGGCAGGGCTGTGGGGCAGCAGGGCAGGGATCTAGGGGAAGTCTGTGCTGGGTGTCTGCCATGCCCACATTTCCCCACCAGAGCCAGGCCCTCGCAGATCAGGGCTCTGGATGCCTGAGCTGAAATCCTGACAGGTGTGCTGGTCCTTCAAGATCGGGATCCAGAAAATGCTATGTGCTTTTTTTTGGTTTGAGGAACAGAATTTTGGGGTTTCGTGACAATACTTTTTCTCATACATCTATGTAGCACCCTAAGTGAGCATTGGGGCGGTGGACAGACATGAGCGTTGGGTGCTCTTGGCTGGGGTATGGGTGTAGTTTTGGTCTGGGTTTAGCTTTAGGTTTGTCATTGAATGTTGGGAATCTTTTGACCTTGTATGCTCATATTCTGATTCATGTTCATTCTTTTTTATTTTGTTCCTTTAACCATTTTAACAACCAGATTAGAATACTATTAATACTACTACGTATTTGCGTGAAATATAATCATTACGCTTACGTTTAAATCTCCATGACTGCTTTGACTGGTGAGGCCATGTCGGATTTTGCAAGCTGGTTTCATATTGAATCCTTGCTCCCTAACAATCCTGTACAGAAAGTTCCGTCCCTGGCTACAGATGAGCAAGGAGGCTTGGAGAGTTTAAAGGGTGACACATCATTCTTGCTCTGCCCCTGCTCGCTACCTCCCTGTCCTCGCTCACAGCTGAGAGTCAGTTCAATGTGTGTTTCTGTATCTTGCCCAGGAGGTCTCAATTTCATGATTCTTGGAGTAGCTTTGTAGAGGGATGAGAACAGGCAAGCCTGCCCCACATTTCTAGATGAAGAAGACGCTGCAGAGCTAGCTTTGAGGACAGAAGAAGAGGCATTGGTGGATGATAACTGGCTATGGGGTAAGGGAACAAAAGAGAGAGTCTCATCATACATGATTTAAAAAAAAAAAGCATGGCCTCCTTCGATCAATAGAAAACCCATCCCAAGCTCCTTTCTCCTGGGTGAAGCCAACATGTTTCCTTCTTTTGTAGGTGGGAGGTTAATTTCTGCATCTACTTAGGCTCGGATTCTGAGAAGCAATAGCTCGCATTAGCGTTGCCAGGCAAATAGAGCGTTGTTTGCTTAAACAGCTATGATTAAGACTCGGCTCTACTGGTCACAAGTTTGTGGCCAACTTTCCAGAAATGTCTCTCAGATAAGTGCCGCCAGGCTGGCTGTGACCGATGGGAAAGAAGAGGGGAAATCCTGGATGTTCAGTGCCTCCTGGACCGGCCTGTGGATCTCAGTCTGACACTGGTGACACCTGGAATTTGCCATCTTCTGGGAGCCAGAGAGATCCAGACAAACAGCACGAGGGGTAACAGAGACAGAGACAAAGAAAACACACTGAGTTATCAGAGCTGTCAGGTGCCAGATGGTGCAGAGGCTGGAGAGGAAGGAGAGACTTTTTTTTTAATAGTTTTTATTGAGATTAAGAGATTACATAAATTTCACAAATTTCACAGTGTTGTGAGATACTGACACAGTTAAAGTCACAAACACATGTTAACCTTCACGAGGCCAACTGTCATTACCATGGTCTGTAAAGTTTGTGAATTCTATGAGCTTTGATCATACAACTATTTCTTCCACGGTGGGTGATAGATCCATTTCTTTCCTTTTGCTTAGTGTCAGCTGTTCCTCTTTCCCTCTCATTCCCTCCCCCCCATCGCTGCCCTTGGGTTGCTTAGTTCATTTTCATCAATGTCCAGTACAGCTGATTCCCACTGATACTGTGCCCTCAGACGCAGAGACTTTTAAAGGATACAGGAGCAGAGAGACAAACCGTTCCTCCTGAGCCGCTGGCACCCTAGGGCAGGACAAGAAGCATTCCTTTCCCAGCCTCTGGGGTTTGGGGAGGGGTTGGGGAGGGAGGGTTGTGCTTTTTCTGTCCCTGGGTTCTGGGTCTGTCTGAGGGGCGTGGAGGAGGCACCCCTGGCCTTGTCCAGCGGTGTCAGGGCTGTATCTGGACATCTGGGTTGCTTGCAGGCAAGAAGGAATTGCCCAAGGCAGGAGAACACCCTCTTGTGTTTCTCAGAGGAGTCAAAGAGGGTGTGGGTCAGGGGTTCCCAGGCCTGGCTCCTCTTCCCAGGAAATTCGGTCTGCCTCAGTTTTCCCAGTGAAGCAGACGACACTGCGTTTGCTCTTGCCTCTCTCATTTCTAAAGAAGCAACCGCTGTCCAGGAAATCCTGTTTACATTTCATGGCAGGACAGCCGACTGGTTTCAACAAAGAGGGTGCTGGGGCTGGTGAACGTTCTGGAAGGAAGCGATCCCGCTGCATTACTTCTTGGGAAAGAAGGAATGCTCCCAGGCAGACCTTGCACATACCGGGCATGTGGGATCCTTTCTCACAAGGGTGCCGGGTCCCACTGCAGCGGCACAATGAAGATGAGCAGTCCTTCCAGGAAGCTACCTTTCGTCCCAGAACACTTGAGAATCCAAAAGAAAACAGGAAGACTGTGACAACACCATAGTTTCATGACAAAATGAGATTCCACGAGAGGCTTTAATATCATCTTATTCTCCTGGGACACATCTCATTAGAAGAAGAAAATTTAACATAAGCATACATTCCTGGAAAATCTGGTCAGACCTCTTCTTAGAGTTTGAGTTCATTCCAGCAAATCAAATGATACAACATGAAATGATTGTCAGCAAGATGAATGCGTAAAATCCACGTCCTAAGACAGATATAGATTACCACTCTTAAATGGACAAATACTTCAGTCTCTGCAAGAAACACTTCATAGTTGGAGTTTCTCCTAATAAATTTTCTCAATCTACTTGACATCAATAGTTCTGGGAATATCCTCTTTTTTTTGGAAATCTTACAATGATATGGGAAAAAATTTTCTTTTAGGAAGCAGGAAGACTTTTAACTTCCTGTTACTATACATCATGCCTTTAGATTTGACTCAAAATTTAAAGCCATGATTTTGCAAATATTTATTAACTTTCACTGTGCTTGAAAATATTTTCAAGACACGTGTCACTTTGTCACTATAGTTTCTTCATTAACTATCTGAGCCTACAGCTTCTCCTCTTACCGTGTATTCCAGCCACATCTGGGCCAAAGATTCATTCATTTTTTTGCCATTACTAGGGTTTAAGTCAGGGCCTTGTGCTGATCTTACTTGGCTTTTTCTGTCATGACTGATACTCTACCACTTGACCCATACCTCCAGTCCAGCATTTTGCTGGTTGATTGGAGATGGAGTCTTGTAGACATTGCCTGGGTGAGCATTGACGCTTGATCCTTCAGGATCTCAGCCTCTTGAATAGCTAGGATTATAGGCACGAGTCACTAATATTTGGCTTAGATCAAAGATTTTGTCAGTCCTGGACTTGAAGGTGGGGAGGAGTTATTAAGAAGTGACCAACCCCTCTGTACGGTATTTTCACAGTAAAAAAAAAAAAGAAAAGAAAAGAAATTCCTGATGAGCTGAAATGGATATAAAAAATAAACAAAAAAAAGGAGGGACTAGTTGTGTTTCCAATGTGGGCAGCTCGATGTCAGGTGAATAAGGCCATGAGAGGTAAAGGAAACGGGTCCTGCCCTCGAGAAGCTGCTCACAAATGGCCAGGACATGATGTCATACAGGAAACTGGGAAAGAGCAGCAGTAATGTATATTACTCACATAGTCAGGCCTGTCTGCAGTGTGTGTGTGTACATGTGTGTATGTGTATGTGTATGTATGTGTGTATGTGCATATGTATATATGTGTATGTATGTGTATATGTATGTATGTGTATGTGTGTATGCATGTGTATGTGTGTGTGCGTATGTGTATGTGTGTGCTTGTATGCATGTGTGTATGTGTGTATGTGTGTGTATGTGTGTATGTGCGCATGTATATATGTGTACGTATGTGTGTATGTATGTATGCGTATGTGTGTATGCGTGTGTATGTGTGTATGTGTGTGTATGTGTATATGTGTGTACATGTGTATGTGTGTGCTTGTATGCATGTGTGTGTGTGTGTGTGTATGTGTGTGTGTGTATGTATGTGTGTGTGTGTGTATGTGTGTGTGTTGGGGAGTAGATTCATTTAGAATGCCAGTAATCAGTTGTCTGAAGACAATTTGGAAGAGTTAACAAAGAATAGGAAATCTTTTTTTATTTCCCTGTATACATTATACAGTTTTCTTTTTCTTTTTTTTGGGGGGGGGTCCGGTCATGGGGCCTGAATTCTGGGCCTGGGTGCTGTCCCTCAGCTCTCAGCTCAAGGCTAGCGCTCTACCACTTGAGCCACAGCGCCACTTCTGGCTTTTTTCTTTTTGCTTATGTGGTGCTGAGGAATCGAACCCAGGGCCTTGAGCATGCAAGGCAAGCGCTCTCCCACTGAGCCACCTTCCCAGCCCTACAGTTTTCTTTATAAGTATCCTATTTGAATACTTGTCATCATCCTGACCACTGGAGACACAAAGCACCGGCAATAGGAAAAGTGCCCAGTGGGCACAGGCTAAGAGCAAAGAAATTCACTTTTCCCAGGCCGGAGGCCTTCAGGTTCCCCTCTTAGGATGCGTGTGCATCAACTGCAAAGAGCTAGGAGGATGCAACCCACTGCTGTGGATCCGAGTGATGGCTTTCATAGCCTGAGTGGTGGCAGGGACCCGCCTGGTGTACCCCCTCCTGCCCCATCATAGCCTCTCCCTGTCCCGGTCCTTGCCCCTGGACACCGAGTTTGAGGATGGCCGTGGGTGGGGCACACATCTCCCCTTCCTCTCTGAGTGTTCAAGTGCACCCATCCTCAGCTTTCACTGGCATGAATGCCCATCCGCACCTGTCTGCCTCTCCCATGGCCTGTGCTCATGGCCTTTCGTGCATTCTCGTTTCAGTCCAGAGGCCCGTGGTGGAAGAATACACAGTGGATATTGAGATCAGTGTTGAAAATGTCTCCTCCCTGGAGTCCCTCAGAGCTCACCTGAGCAGCCTCCACTTTCCACTTCATGGTAACAGCACCCACCTCACCGCCGACATTCTCAGCATAGCGGTGACCACGGGTGAGTGACATGTCCACGGGTTTAGGATGGAGGAGCTGGGAGGAAGGACCGCTTGGTGCTCAGGCTCAGACTCTCCTGAGGGCATCACTGAGGTATTGGCCAGGGCTGGAATCGAAGCTTCACTGGGACTGGACACTCTGCCTCTATGCTTGTCCATGTGGGTGCTGGCCAGTTGCAGTACTTTCCCAGCTATTGGCTAGAGACCTGAGTTCCTCACTCTGAGGGCAGCTCCAGCGACCGGCATGAATCCAGCTTCCTCTGTCTAGTGGGAGAGAGGTGCAGGGGAAGAGAGGAAAGGAGAGAGGGAGGAAGAGAGAACACTAGAGGAAAGGACACCAGGAATCCTCCCGGAGGCTGATTCTTATATCAAGATATAAGATACCTTATGCCTTCTATGCAAGGATCTGTTTACCATAATACACAGCTGGGGTCCACCTGGTATGAGGCAACAGCATCTAAAAACCACACCACAGTACAGCAGTCAGCAGTCACCCAGCAGTCACTCCACAATTACAGCAGCCATCTTTCGGATGCTCACCACTAGATACATATGCCTACATGAGCCTCAGCCCATTCTCCTGAACTTCCGGGGAAGCCATGTGAGGTCGGGGTAGGATTCCCTCCACGGGAGTAGATGCTTGCAGTCATCTATGGATGCAAAGACGGTGACCGCCTACTCTGACCCCACTCTTCCGTTGATGACAGTCTGCCAGCCTACCGCAAACGAGGTCTGGTGCTCCTGCGAAACAGGATACAGGTGGCCTCGAGAAAGGTGCGTCCGCCATCTCCCCTGTCATCAACAGCCCGGAAGCATCCTGCCAGGGCCCCACTGCCACTGCCTGAAAGGACTTCCACCCGGAGGGCCTTTCTGCCAGCTCCCAGAAGGTGGGTGCTCCTTCCTAAGGTCTTGAGGACCTACCCCGTCTCATCTCAAGCGGGTGTCTTGGTTTTTCTGTCCATGTTTAGACATGAACATGAGATTGTGGAGTTAGGATTCTTTGTTTCACAGAATATTTGACCCTGAAAATGAGAGTCAGACTGAATGTGGGATTTCAAGAAGACCTGAAGAACACCTCCTCGGCCCTGTATAGATCCTACACCACAGACCTAGAAAGAGCGGTAGGTCTTTGTTCCCAGGGGCCTTGTAACCAGAAAATTGTTTAGACGGAAGTGGTTCTATTCCCTTCCCCTTGGACAGTTTGCTTAGCTCAGTTGTAATCTACTAATGGGGATTTGGACTTATTTATACCCATCTAGGATAGCGAGTTAAGAAGTGTGCAAAGCTGGGCTCTAGTGGCTCACTCCTGTAATCCTAGTGTCTCCAAAGGTGTTTGAAGCCAGCCTGGTCAGAGAAGCCCTGGAGATGCCATTTTAAAATCTTTATTTATTTTTGGTCCCCTGATCTCAGTTTCCCAAGTAGCTAGGATTGCAGGCTCGAGTCTATATCTGCACCTGGCACCTGAGAAATTTTCTTTTTTTCCCCCACACTTTACGTAGGGTCTGCTTTTCTCAGAACTCAGGCAGATATAGGCAGTTAGGAATTACTTTTTCAAAAATCTGTTAAGGCCAGTGCCAAGAAAACAGAAGAAACTTAATCTCCAGAAGGAGGAGGGATACGTGCTGTCCTCTCCGCTTCTGATCCATGAAACTTGTCTCACCTTATTTTCCAGTTCCGAGAGGGCTACAGAATATTACCAGGCTTCAAATCCGTGACTGTGACTGGGTTCACGTAAGAACACTATACATCTTTCATTTCCCTTTGACGACATAACCCAAGATGTCAGTGAAGAAGAAAACCCATGCTAGGGTATAGCATGGGATTTGCTTAGCACCAAGTGGTAGAGGTGGAGGAGGATGACTGATTGCAGGGATTCCGAGCAAAAGGAAGTACTGGGAAATCTCTACCCCTTGAGAGATGTTCCTGTTTAGTGGTAAAGACTGGAAAAGATGCATCCATGCACACAAGGATTTTGCGAGCAATGTGCCAAGTGGTTCTCTACAGAGTTTGCAGATACGAACATGAAATGATGTCATATAGCAATGCCTTTGTATGGGAGAATTCAGCTAGCCAGACAGGACCACGAAGTCACATGATTCAACACAAATGGGTGTTCTGGACTTACACACCCTACCATTCCTCCATTGGTTGGCACTCTGTTCAACATGAGTAATGTGTACAGGACTCTCCAGAGTTTAGGCCCCGCTTAGCACTCAGTGTATTTGCTAACCCTGAGCTAGCGTAGCTGTGTGACGTTCAGTCAGCAGGTTCAGCATCACGGATGTCTTCCTGAAATCTCCTGTGCCATTCTATCTGTTCATCCCCACTTGGCAGCTTCCTTCCTTTATATTTCCTATCTGCAGACTTTTGGTGCCCCGGCCTAGCCTCCAGCCATCATCTAGAGTTCCACATGAGTTTATTTTGGTCATTCACTGAGGCTTCTTGCTATTTTTCTTACTCATGCCAATAAATTATAAGGATCTAGACTCTGTCAGGTTACTGCCTTACTGAACTGTGTGGTCTCTACCCAGCAAAGGCAGTATTCTTGTGAACTATGAAATCAAGACTACAACACCACCAAGCGGGCTCATGCAGAAAGCCAATGAGAACGTCATAAAGAACCTCAATCAGACATACAGAATGGATGAAGGCTCCTTCCAAAGTGTGCCCAGCAGTGAGTGAGGGCCGGCGGCAGTGGGGTTCCTCGGGCTAGATGCCACTTCTGGTCATAAGGATGGCGGTGGGCCAGCTCCAATCTAGAAAACCACATTCAGATGCCCCGGTGGGGGGAGAGACTTCTGGCTTCTCCCCCTCTTCAGTGCCCCCCAACCTGGCTAACACCCCTACACCTGGAAGGCAGAGGTGAGGGGAGCAGGGAGTAGAATTGTGGTCCACGGGCTGGGTAGGATGTTGTAGGTTCTCTATATCCGCACCACCAAAACATCCAAAGGAGCAATGCTAAGGGAGTGGCAGGTGTCCATCACAATGCCTGTCTCAGAGAGTGGCTTCCATACCAGCAGCCTCAGGACCCTCCACCAAATGAAAATTTTGTTAAACATGCAAATTCAAAAATGCAAGCTCCCATCCAGGTCTCCCCTAGATCTGCCAGGGTCAATCGGTTCCTCCCGGACCTCCTGGTGGCCCACATGTCCCTGGGTGTTTGGGGACGTGGCTCTACACCTCTTACCTGTGAGGGGCCGTGAACCTTTGCTGCGAGGCAAAGGTTCCCCCTCTGCTCGGGATCCTGATGCCTTCTCTTTGGGTTTCCAGATGAGACCAAGTTCACAATTATCCCAGAACAAGTCTTTGAAGGGGACAGCGTGACGCTGCAGTGTGAAAATGACGTCTTGTCCCCCAACGTGTCCTGGCACTATGGGGAGAACCGCTCCGAGATCCAGAACAGCAGCAAGTTCTTGATCTACAACGAGATCCTCAACATGACATCCGTGTCACGCCTCACCATCTACAACTTCACCCAGAGCGATGCAGGTGCGTCTCTGCTGACCGCCGGGCCTGCATGGGAGGGGGCAGAGAGCAGCACGGAGCAGGTACATGGGGCTGCTCCTCACAAAGACCGTCCTGGTTCACACTGGCCACACTCTCCACACTCCACGCCGCGGCGTTCATTTTCAATTATGTTTAAAGTTATGATATTTTAGCTGGGTTTTATTTCACCCACATATCATCTTAAGCTCTAAAAGCTTTACAGTAGGTTTGTGCAACTAGAATTTATGTAGAATGCACTGTACATTAACTAAGGTATACGAACTTAAGTCTGGACATACCAGCCCCTCTCGCCCAAAGCAGGATGGAGAATACAATCCCCTAGGCCCCAAATTTCCTAGTCATTGAAATTCCTCTCTTTAACCTTTCCCCTACCCACCTATCTACTTCAATCAATCACAGGAGCATGTTTGAATTATTTAAAGGCTAGTGATCTTCCTGACCCAGCCTAGAACTCCATAGTCCCATTGTAAGCCAGAGTCAGTAGGGCCAGTTCTCTGGATAAAGAAGTAGGCTATTTGTAGATGAGTGCAATCACATCTTTGTTGATTGGAGAAGAAAAGCTAACCATGGTGTTAAATAGGATGTCTTTGGTGATCTTCCAAAACCTCCTACCTCTTCCCATCCTGTCTGGTTTCCTACTAGAGAAAAGCCCGGGAGGAGGAGGGGGTTGCAATTAGGGCGTCTCTCACCTGGTGGTCTCCATGGAATCTCTGTACTTCCTGGGTTCCCCTTCTTTAACAATCCTTCTAATTAGAGTACGTCAATTGTACAACATGAGGGGTTTCGTTTAGATGCCTCCATGTGTGCATATAATTAGAGTACGTCAATTGTACAACATGAGGGGTTTCGTTTGGATACCTCCATGTGTGCATATAATGGATTTGCTCGTGTTTAGCCCTCTAATCTTGTCATACCACATTTCCCAATCCACCTGCTGTTAAACTTCCTTGAAAAAAGCTTAAAATGGATTTAAAAAATTAATATGCATTTGTAGTGTGAAGGGTTTTCATTGTGATCTCCTCATTCATGCACTCAGTGAACTTGGAACAAACTCACACCCATTGCCCTATTGCCGTTCTTCCTTCTCTCTTTGCCAAACAGCGTTGCTGGGTTTTGTTATGCTTTATTGGACGTGTTTCATTTTACCTGTTCATATCTGCATATGATATACTTCTTTCATATTCCCTGAACACACACACACACACACAACACACACATACATGACACATACACACAGACACACACCACACATACACACAGACACACACAATCCCTCCCTCCCTCCACTGGGTCTCCTGCTAACGTTCCCACTTTTATGTTTTAAGACTTTTAGGTCTAGATTCCACTCAGGAGAGAAAATGCACAGCCCTTGTCTTTCTGGGTCCTCAGGAATGCTTAGACCAAGTCTGCTACGCTTTGGAAGTGGTTCTTCCCAAAGTAGTTCCTTGATACACTGGGGTGGGAGGAGGCTGTCACTTCGTTGAGGCTATAAGTGGGGGACGCAGGTTGACTGTGTGTCTCCTTTGCAGGTGACTATGCTTGCAAATTGCTGATGGATATTTTTGAATATGGGACCTCAAGAAAAATAGATGTCATACCCGTTCGAATACTGGCCAAGGACCAAATAAAGGTGATCTGTGACAACAATCCTGTGACTTTGAACTGCTGCAGTGAGAACAGCGTGAACTGGAGCAATGTGGAATGGAATCAGAGAGGGCAGATACGCATTGCCGGTAAGGATGTGGGAAGAGGCCTTTTGCAGGCAAGCCGTTGCTTGCCTCTTGGCCAGATAAAGATGGGCATTGTGATGGGAGACAGGGGAAATGTCAGAGGGTTGTTTTTATTCTGGGCTTCAGATTCTGAAAAAATACTAGATTCGATGCCAGGCTCCAGGGCAAAACTAGAACAACGCCTCTATTCATACAAACAAACGTGGTGCTAAGTTGTGGGCGAGATCCCAGCGACAGAGAGGGAAGGAAGGAGCCATGCTGATGTGTCAGGAGCGCCTCCCGCCCTCCACAAAGCGTGGCCGTCCCTGCTTCCCCTTCCCTTCCTGAGCTCTGGGAAGAGTTAAGGATGCCTTCGCTTTGATTTGATGATTGACTTCCATTGAGTCGGACTTGGAGCTGATTCTTTCTGTCTCTCTCCCCTTGGTGTCTACCCTCCTGTACACACCACCTCCATCCTTCCCATCTCTAAATTTATAATCTTCTGTATCACTCTGTAGACTTATTTGTCCCTCCACAGTTTCACATCAATTCATAATCCTGTTGGCTTTAGGTTTATATGAATGAGTGGTAACAAAAATGACACGAAAACAATAATAGTGACACTTTGTCACGTAGCACTTTTATAAAAATCCTAACCCACACGTGATCACTTTTAATCACATTTAAAGTTGATCCTAAGTCTGAGCTGATGTTTTTACCTCCAATATGAAAATAAAGAACTTGAGGTACAGATGAAATGCCTCATCCCAAGTTATCACCGTATGAAAAGAGAAGAATTAGAACTCTATAGAACTCCGTTGGCAAGACCAGCTAATGGTGTTGTGGGATTGTGTTATCCAACCTGTTAGGCCAGCAATACCACCAAGTGGCCTGGGAATTTGAATGGAAGAAGATGGTTTTCTACCCAGAAATCCTTAGAACTGCCATCTACCTCTTCTCTTAAGAAGCAAAGGTATTTGGTGGTCATCTTCAAAGACAAAGTAAAGATTACTTTAAAATGTGGCTTGGCCCATGAAATTCATTAATGCAGTGAATCTTTATTTTATGAAGTCTTGCTATTAGATACCATGACACTATCTAAAAGGAATACAGAAGCATCAATCTAGCCGCACATTTCCCTGGGCATGTCTGTTTGGCAAAGCACATTTCACTTGCAGCATTTGTGTTCTGGCTCAGAAGAGGGGGACAGGCATCTGGTAACGGTGGAACCTATTGGCACTTGGGATGTGTAGTCACTTCCCGGGTTTTGATGGAAGAGGAGGAGTAGGCATCAGGAAGGAATTGCCAGACAGGAAATGGCCCTCACAGGATTCCTGTGGTATATTCCTGACTGAGACTCTTTCAGCCCTGAGAGGAGGCAGACCTCACCCTCTGGTGGAGAACCAGGAAGTCTGTGCTGCAGGTGCTCCAGGGCCTCTCCGGTGATCATTTCGGCAGACTTTCCTGGTGCCCAGTGAGGACCCAGCCAACTGCAGAACAATGGATTTCCTGCCACGGGGCTGGACACCTGGGGCCCGGGGCCTGCTCAGGGCAATGGCTAATACATCACCTCTGCGCCAGGACCCAGCCCCTCCCTTTTTTCTGCAAGCTCTCATCCTCCAAATAGCCTGTGCCTTTTAGCATTCGTATTTCTGCATATGCTACTCACATATTGCACCCCAAAGCATTTGAAACTGAGTACAGTAAATACCTATTATTTACTTCACATGCACATTATTTCTGCACATTTCCTCATACAATCCATCCTGCGTAACTCATTGCCCTACATGTGAGTTTGGGTTAAAAGAAAAATGTTGGGTGTTTAAGGATGAGTAAGAGTCAACAAGAAACAGAAAGGAGGAAAATATTCCAGAGGTAAACACGGGCATAGAGGCATGGTTCAGGGCATGCCAAATGTCCAGCATTTAAGGGAGGAATTAATGTCTAGTATTTAAGGGAGGAATGTAGTATGAGACAAAAGGAGATGAGCAAATTAACAGCACACTGTGAATAAATACCATCTTCAGTTGACTTTATTCTATACATGGTGGTAGGGTTTTGAAAGTAAAAGAAAGATTATCAGATGATCAGAGCGGAACTTTAGAAAGCTAAAATGTAGTGGTATAATGAGTAGGTTGAATTAGAAACAGTCTGAAAATCAAAGCCTCCATAGGGTAGTCTGTAACGTGTACACAACAGACAGAAGGACCCAGGTGGCAAATGACCTTGGATTGACCTGGTAAGAAATGCTGGTGAAGTCAATCCACAAGCATTTTACAACCTAATAGACGTACAATGTGAGGAAATGCAAATCATTAAGGGCAACTTTAAGGCTTTCCATTTGGAGAGCTGCCAAAGGTGGAGAGGAAATGCTGGCAGATGTGCAGGTTTTGTCTGAGGAGAAATAAATAAGTTGCCTGTGTCGAGGTAGGGGTACTGAAGATGTCAAATGAACATTGAGAATTGTCTTCTAAAGTTTCTACTGAGGGCATTTTTCTTAGAAGTGGTGGGATGTCTTCTAGACATACTAGAAGTCAAGGCTGCAGAAGAAGGAAGGGTATGGCAGCAAGGAATCCTGGGAAAGAAGCTCAGGAGGAAGGATGGAGACAGAAAAGCGGGAGAGACCTCAGGGACTAAGTAGCTTCGCAAATGCAGAGATCGCGAGAGATGTGGGAAGGAAGAAAGAACGGTGATGGCTAGCAGAGCTTTTATGGCGGAGAGAAAAAGCATCCCAGGCACAGAAAACTTGAGTGTATCTGTAGGCTGAAGTGAAGGAGCCAGAGGAAAGATGAAGACACAGAGAGAGAGAGAGAGAGAGAGAGAGAGAGAGAGAGAGAGGAGAGAGAGAGGGAGAGGAGCAGTACAGGATGGAGTTGGATTCTGGGGGAATTGGAAAGAAGCGACTTTCCAAAGGAGAGATGGAGAAGTGAGCCCTAGAGAAAGGTGGAGACCATTGTGACTTCGTAATTTAGCCAAGCTGTGAAAAGGGGGAAGTCAGCTGGGCATTGTCAGAAACTATTGGAGGATTAGGGAGAAAAGATCACTTCAGATATTACAATTATTATCCATCAACCAGAGCCAGAAAAGATACATTTGTTTTGGGACTGATCAAGAGACTTATTCTTTTTCCTTCATTTTTTTTTTAAAAAAGATAGTGTTTGAAGGCATCTTAGAAGTACACAACAGGTATAGTGGGAGGAGAGAGAATAAAGAGACTGAGATTAGAGTTGGAAATCAAATTCATACCCTGGAGTGTCCTAGAACCCTGGGGAAGAGGTAAAGATAACTTAGAAGGCGTGATATCTCTGGGAATAAAAAGGAAGGTTTAGGAAGGGAGTTGTATGGCTGGGGTCATGGCTCAAGTGGTAGAACGCCTGCCTGCCAAGTCAAGGCCCTGAGTTCAAACTCCTCTATGACCAAGCCAAATAATAAATGAACACCTGCATGTGTTCATGTATGTGTTCATTAACACCTGCATGTGTTCATTTTTTTCAAGAAAAGATTAAGGGAGATGCTCAAGAATGTTTTGCTAAATGGTAGCTTGGGAGGGCAGGAATTCTGGACCCAGAGTCTGCAGACCTGATCGCTGTGCTACCTCCATCCAGAGAACGGATCTAATTTAAATGTAACTTGCCTTTATTGATGTGGCTTCGGTGTCCACCAGGCCCATGGAGGATCACCCCTGTCATTGCAGGAATCCCGGAAACAGACCTAGAGTCTTTCTGCAGCACCTACACCATCAGGGCTAATGGAACCCAGTGCCCAGGCGGGTCCTCGGGAACCAAAGTCACCTACACCTGTGAGTTCATCCGCAGTTACGGAGCCAGAGGCAGTAAGGACATAGAAGTCACGTTCATCTCTGTGGGTAAGGACTCCTGCACTCCATTTTTTTTAATTTAATCTGTATCAATGCTGTCTTTGCTGTTGAACTGGGAATATCCATGGACTGAGAAAAATCATGCAGGGCTTTTCCTGGAAATGGGATAATGGCTGGAACCCGTGGTTCATTAGGAGATAGAAGAGGATTCCTTCCCTTCAGTTTAAATTCTGCTGGGATCTTTTCTAAGTTGAGGTGGGTGGGGGCGGGAGGGGCAGCTGCAGGGAAGGGAGAAGCTGTGTGGTCCGGTGAAATGGATTGATGGGGGGAGTGGCTTCGTCCTGTTGTCATGACAACAAAATGGGGAACCCCCCCCCTTCCTTCAGTTCCTCCCTTTTCCTTCCACAATCCCCTTCTTCTGACCTTTAAGTCCAGCAGCTGGATTCAGTACCCCACAATCCTCAGTTTCCCCCATAGGCCCACCACTCCTGTTCCACCCACCCTAGATGGAGGATTGCATAAGATGTTAATGATCTGATAATGTGTCCTGATTTTACAGTTGGGACATGTGGTGTTTTTTTTTTTCAATTCACTATAGTCATGCCTTTTAAAAGGATAATTTCCCTTCATATCATGAAGCATTACAATTTCATCCATAACTATAAAAGTATGTTTCCACCTGTCCCACAAAATGACCTCAAACCCTTTGAATAGACTCAGAGAAAAGACATAAAAAATGATGATACCCAGCTCTTGTCTTTCTGTGTTCTGTTCATTGTAACTTCACGTTGCTGCAGAGACCAAGATTAGGTTTCTGTGGGATCACAGAGCTAACATGACTCTCAGAATTAAAACGGGAGTGCATGTTCACTCTCACCACAGAAAACTTCAATTTGCTCAAAATGTGCTGGAGGCCACACCAAGCTGCAAAACTGAGGCGAGTCTTAGAGGGGCAGTTAACTCTGGCTGAAAAGCATAGGTTTGCTTGTTTGCACCTCAACTGAGTACTAAAAGAAACAGATTTGTGGTTCCATAGGAGTTTACTTTGTGTTCTCAGAAGCAATGCAAACTTAGCCTTCTCTAGCTCTCTCAGAGAGCAGGACAATGCTAGGGACATTGTGCAAAGTGCAAATGGCTTTTATTGTATATCCAGACATATTTCAAATTCTAAATGATACTGTAGAAAACACTAATTTTCATTATGATTAAGAATAAGATTTTACACTGACTGGAAAAGCAGGCCAGTGATGGTAGGCTCAAGTTGTGAAGGTTGGAGCATGTAGCACTTGAAATATTAATTGTGTAAATGATATAACCCAATAGGAGTGGGAAAAATCGATTGATATTCATATGAGCTTTTATGTTAGTAATGGTTTCATGATCATTGTCCATGAGTAATCTCTCGTGAATCAGTGAGGAATGGCTCAGAGTAGTAAATTATAATTTAGTTATATATAATTCTATAAGGTTGTAAGGATGTTACTGTGATTATATGATAGTAATAAACATGAATGTGTCCCTATGTCCCAGCTTGCCTGAGGCAATCCAAATATCATTACTTGGGCAATAAACTCTTATCATCTCCCTACTGAAATGGAAGTTCTAGAATTCACCCTGTTGCTTCAGCCCGGACCCAGGACTAAATGCTGGGGACACAAAGATACAGGACTCCCACTTTGATGAAGGAGAGGTTCAGAAATGGAGAGGCAATCTGATAGCGGGAGAGAAATAGTTTGGAGGTGCCGATGACAGAATTGTCACAAGAACCCAGCCATCTTTTCCCCTTTGAGGTTGCCCCGAAGTGGGTGGACGGGGAGCTTGGGTTAAGTCACCAACCCTAAGTTTACAACCTTTTGCCCTGCTGATCATCAGGAGATAATTCCAGCCACAAAGGGGAAGTGCACGAGCATCTAAGGCATGCGGTGGAAGTGAGTACAGTTCAGAGCACCACCTGGAACAGCCTAGAAACAAATAAAGCCCAGGAGCAGCAAGGTACCAGTCCTGCGTTGACGCTAGTAGAGTCAGGCCGGTCGCGTTTACTATCTCTAGCTTAAGTTTCACGTGTGTGTCTATGTCACCAGAAAGACTAAACATTGGACTTGTTTGTCGGTTTTGTTTTGTCTGTTTTTGTTTGCATTCTTTTCAGCCAACCTAACAATAACCCCGGACCCAATTTCTGTTTCTGAGGGACAAAGCTTTTCTATAAAATGCAGCAGTGATGTGAGTAACTATGATGAGGTTTATTGGAATACTTCTGCTGGGATTAGAATACATCAAAGGTTTTATACCATGCGTTGGCATCCTGCCGGAGCGGAGTCAGTGCTGACAGTGAGGACAGCTACCCGGGAGTGGAACGGTAAGCGAAAGGCCTGACCGTGTGCCATGGACTCCAACCCCCCAGGAACACTTCCTGTCTGTTCCTTAGTCTTCCCCAGGACACTCCTATTCTTCCTGCTTTATGTGAAATACATCTTCCTGTGTGCACAATGGTCCTTTGAGCAGAGCTTTCAAAAAGCCCTCTTACAGACAGGGAAACTGAGTCTCGGAGAATACATACCTCAGCTTAAACAACTTAAAGAGACAGTAATGTTGCCTGGGAATGTGGCTTAATGGTAGAGTACTTGCCTAGCATGCATGAAACCCTGGGTACTATACAAACAGAAAAAGGCAGAAGTGGAGCTGTGGTTCAAGTGGTAGAGTGCTAGCCTTTAGCAAAGGAGCTCAGGGACAGTGCCAAGGCTCTGAGTTCAAAGAGAGACAGACAGACAGACAGAAAGAGAGAGAGAGAGGAGAGAGAGAGTATTGTTATGAGTGTCTCCAATTCCTGTGCTTTTGCCATTATGTCAAGAGGATTTTTTTAAAAAATACTTCTCCCACTTTTGGAGTGTTTCATCCAACTGTGTTGTAAAAAGAAAATCTAAACAATGTTTTATATGTCTAGTTCCAAAGAAAGGAACACCTTTAAAAAACATACTTATTAAAAAATTTGTTGAATGGTAATCACTTTGTACAACAACTTAAAAGTCCTAAAAATATACTTTCAAACATTATTATTAGCAGAGGCCGGGTGCTAGTGGCTCATGCCTGTCATCCTAGCTACTCAGGAGGCTGAGATCTGAGGATCGTGGTTCAAAGCCAGCCCAGGCAGGAAAGTCTGTGAGACTCTTGTCTCCAATAAACCACCAGAATCGGAAGTAGTGCTGTGGCTCAAGTGGTAGAGTGCTGGCCTTGAGCTGAAGAGCTGAGGGACAGCGCCCAGGCCTAGAGTTCAAGCCCCATGACTGATAAAAAGAAATTAGCAGAAATTTATTGTGCACAGAGGTTTTATTTGTGATATTTACCTACATAAAATAATATGCTGGGATTAAACTTTGCCCAGAGTATATATTTCTTTCTTCAACTCTCTCCTCTTCCCTTCTCTCTCCTTTCTATAGTTATTAATAGGTTCCCTTATTTTATTTTTGTAGTACCTATAATGGACCCAAAGAAGCATTTTTCTTTCTTCCTGTTCATCTCTATCCTTTGAGAAAAGAGGGTTTGATGGGATGCCTGTGGTGGTCAATAACGTGCCTGTGTCTTTGTGGTGTGAGAGGCGCAGTGCCAGGCATGCCAGCTGAATCAATTCCTTTGACCCGGGGTCTGAGGGGACAGTGGTATTGCTATCCCCACATGGCAGATGAGGAAACAGAGGCCAATGTGTTCACGTGAAATTCCCAGCATGATTCACCTGCTGACCAGAAGGGCCAGGATACAAATCCGCACCGTCTGTTTGGCCAATTCCTAATCACTCCATTTTGAAAACTTTTCATGGACTATAAGGCTAATTGGTACACGTTCTGTATGTTCCATGTGTTTTGTTCGTACAATGCCTAGACATTATGGTGGATGTTTGATGGCTGGACTTGGTCGTACTCAGTTAGGAAGTGGTGCTGTCTTTCTTCCACATTGATTTCAAACCTTCTTGATCCTTGCTGTTTCCTATCCTGGGTAATAAAGCCCTTCCCATCATATTAAACTATTCAACAGGCTCATACCCAACTGCTGAGAAAACCCATTCTCATCTACATCCACGGCACTTCCATTTTTATCTGAACTTAAATCCCAGCTTCCTCCTCATGGGCGTGGGAAGCCGTCCATTTCTCTCCTGGTTCCTTTCCCTCTGCCACTTGCTGCTTCTAGAGCCTCCAGAGTTGTGGCAACGCAGGAGAATGTGAGGAGGACCGAAGGTTCTCACGTATAATCTCACCGACTGCCTCCATGCTGCTATTCCCCCACCAGGGGTGGGGAGAGGCCTCACGTGGATGGGGAAGGGAGGGGGAGGGCATGGTAGCCACGGTGGAGCCGCGGAGCTCCACTGTAGGGGCCGCCCTTTCACTCCTTCCCCCTGTCTTGCTTCTGCTCAGGGACCTATCACTGCATATTTAGATACAAGAACGCATACAGCGTGGCCACCAAAGATGTCACCATCCACCCGGTGCCTCCGGAGATCATGGCCGACCCTCTGGAGGTGAGCGGCCTCTGCGTCGGTTCCTACTGCTTCAAGTGCTGCATAGATGAGGACGAGGACTACAGAGTCTCCTTCCAGGTGGATTCCTCCCTCTTTCCTGCTGGTAAGATGCCCACTGCCAGCCCTCACGTCTCATCTCTGCGGAGTCCAAGGTAGTCTCTTAACACAGACCAAAGACTTAGAGGAAAAGAAAACAGAAACAATACTTGAGCTAATGGGGTAGCATTTTGACAGGCCTTTTCCAATAGCAGAGCCTTGATTTCATGGCTCTTGCAGGCATAAAAGAATGACTTTGTTCTCTTAACAGTAACAGAGGCGCCCACACCCCAGCTCTACAATGCTAGGAATTTTACAGGGTGGCATTCTCCCTAAAAGAACAGGCCAGGAAAACAAGACACAATAAAACAGGAAAAGGACCTTCTGCCAGAGTGTATACAGCTTGCCCTCTCTCTGAAAGGACAATGATGTTTTCCTGAGAATTGTAACTGTCCTGTCATCACCTAGCCCCTGGCTTTGAACTGGAGCTGTGTATGTGGTTTAGGAGTGCCAAGCAGAAGAGCAAGGAACTTAATTAAAGCAGTTCCTTCATTGGTATGCCATGCCATTTGAAAGAGAAAGAAAAGGAGAGGAAAGGAAAAAACAATCAAATCCTCTTTGGTATAATTCATCCTCAATTTAGATTCCTCAGAATTCCCAGAGACTTAAGGCCAATCAAACAGAAGTGCACAAAAACCAAGTCTCAAAACATAGACACTTCCTGTGGTGGAAGTAATGTCAACCCTTTTTGTGTTCTGAGCAATGTAGATAATGGGAGGGGGGAAAATCAAGTTGAGAAAAGCACCTTGCCACTAGAGTTCAGAGAAGGCTGCACGGTAGGACAATAGAGGTTCTATGTAGATATTGAAATAGACAAGCATTTCAACAATCTGTGCTTGATATGCACACGATGAGTGCTTTTAATTACTGAGCTAAGTACCAAGAGATGCAAAGAAAAATAGAGCTTTCTCTGCAGGAACACATACACTAATGGAGAAGAAAGATCTACATATTAGTAGCTATAACCCAATTTAATGAAGACAGGGAGGAATGAGCAGCATTAGAGAGTATGAGAAAGGCATTCTAACTATGAAAAATGTGGGGGGGCAGATTTGGAACCCTTAAGTGTCAAGGTGCAGTTTTGACTGGTCCACATGCAAATATGGGCCAAAGGCTATTGTACATAAATACGTGAAACCGCGTTAAAAAACCAATGTGACACATGCCTAGGAAGTGTGTGGGCAGGTGTGTCCATACTAGATCACTGTGACAACGTCTGTGCTTGGTAACTCGCACTGGGAATCCGTGTCTCCCCTCTGTGTTCAGTGAAAGAAGTCCATGGAAAGCAAGTTTGCTACAAGTACAATCTCCACGTAAAACCAGTTCCTGCCTGTCCCAAAACCATCGAGGTATCTTGCCGGTTTACCAATGCTGCTAACTATTCCGTCTCGAGCCAGTCCATGAAGCTCACCCTGGTTCCCGGTAAGGGCATTTGCAAGTACTTTAAAATGTTTTCCATGGGAGCAGAGACTCATTTATTCATTCACTTTCATATTTAGACATTCAATCAATACTATGTTAAGTATATCACTGTGGCAGACCTTGAGCCAACCCTGAGGAGATCTGAAAAGAAATAAGCAGCGTCCCTTGGTGTCCAGTGTAAGGAAGCCCAGGAGCAAACACTTCAACATCTTTCTTAGAATACGCCTGGAGTTGCTATAACGAATTACTCTCTGAGGGTACAGCAGAGTTTCTCTACCTTCGCTGCCCTTGGGGTTTTGTCAGGAAAGTTTAAAACCCTAAAGAAACTGGAGCCACCAGTGGTAAAGCGCTTGCCTTGAGTTGAGGAGCTGAGGGACAGCGCCCAGGTCCAGAGTTCAAGCCCCATGACCAACCAAAAAGAAAAAAGGATTGGGCTCACATAGTAGGAAAGAGCTCAGCCTGGCTCTGCACACTCAGGTCTGCGGACCAGCAGCAGGGGTTTACTCAGGTGACGTTCATTCAGGTTCCTAGAGGATTCTAGGTAAATCCTTTCTCAGAAAAATCCCCGTAGGGAAAAGCACAAACACTGGCTCTGTTGAGCAGCTGGGCACTTAGGAGGAAGGAGGCGAAGCCCCTTGCTTGAGCCACTTGGGTGGAATAAAGGAGAGTATTCTAGTGTAGTCCAAGCGCTATGCTGGCAGGCAAGGACCCCACTGATTTAATCTGGATCTTTGTTCTGTTTTGTTTCTCTCTCTTATCAGCCCCTTGTCATTTTCCCTGATAGCTGGAGGGGTTGTGCTGTTCCCTCTGCAGCCACAACCTTTCCTTGTATTATATCAAATCAATCACACAGGATAAGAAAGTGTGACCCTTCAAATAAAACAGAGTGACAGGTAGAGCAAACGCAGAGTTCTTCAGGAGCTTCCACAGTTTGCTGGAGGAATAACCATGTTAAGAATTTCTCCCACCTCTTCCCCTCCTCTCAGTTGTCTTCTCTGTGTCCTTGTCTCCCCTGCAGGGGAGAACGTCACGTGCAGAGACCCCATCATAGGTGTTGGTGAGCCCGGGAAAGTCATCCAGAAGCTCTGCCAGTTCTCGCGAGTTCCCAGGAGCCTGGGCGGCGTCCTTGGCGGCGTTGTCACTTACAGATGCGTGGACTCCCACTGGAGGGAGGAGAGGAAAAGCTGCATCTCCGCCCCCATCTATGGCCTCCTCCAGCTGGCTAGGGTGAGCCACAGACCCGCCCTTGACTCGAAGCCCTCCTCTGGGACAGCTCTCCAGCCTGCATGTGAGAGCTCATTATGTAGCACAGGCTGGTCTTGAACTCACGATCCTTCTGCCTCCTTCTCCCAAGGGCTGAGATTGAATGTGGTCCATCCTACCTGGTCTAGAGACATTTTTCAACAGAAAAGGACTGTGCTAGTCTAGCAGGCAACATCTGATGTAATCATTCAACCTCTCTATTCATTGAACTCTGTACCACAGTGTCTGCCTTGTGCTTGGTTAGGTTTTCTGGAGATATGACTGACGCGTTGTTTGCTTTATGAAGGAGCTTATGATTTGTTTGGCGCGGTATTCTTTGGTCAGTATGGATAGATAATGATTTGTCATGCAGGGGTACCAGTCAGTCATGACACTGGAGTAACAGACACAAGCCAGGCTTTCCCCAGGATAGCAAGAGTGGCCTGTCAGTGATCAGCAGAAAGAATGATACAAGAGAAAGCACAGAGGCAAACTCGCTTTCACGCAAGTGACCGTTCTGCCAGTATCTGGCCCTAGAGCCATCACGTGCATCTTTCCTTTATGTCTAGTGTTGAGGGAGAGAGATGTTCCGCCCTCCCCTCTCCGTGTGTGAGACCTCACCTCTGAGCCCATTCTGAAGAGTGCACATGGACAATCCAAGATCGCTCACGGGATTCCCTTCGGTTCATGTGCACAGGGAAAAATAGACAGAATCCACAGCCATGGGAGAGCTTGCCGTGAATTCACCAGCAGAGCCACTGGCTGGACGGACTGATGTGTGTGTCTCATTGTGGCTTCTCTGGTTTCACTAGACATTGATCAAGAGTCCCTCCCAGGACCTGAAGCTCCCGGCCTACCTCAAGGATCTTTCTGTCAGCACGGGCAAGGAGAAGCAGGACATCCGCTCCTCCCCTGGGAGCCTGGGTGCCATCATTAACATTCTTGGTCTGCTCTCGACTGTGCCAACCCAAGTGAATGTGGAAATGATGAGGGTGAGTATGGACGAGCCATGCCGGCATGTCATGTCTTCTTGTGTCACTTCCCTCCTACCTCTTCCTCTTTAGCCTCTTCAGAGCAATGACCTGCCATTACTTGGTCTGCTATAGGTGGCTGTGATGATATCGCAGCATTCTCGGTGTCCCTTGGGGAAATGAAGGTTTCCTTAGTGAGTCTCTGTAGTAGTTTCCTTCTTCAGGCAGTATGTAATATACTGAACATGCCCGCTGGGGAAATTAGAGTCCTGGGAGGAAAGAGATTCGCTTGCAAGAGCTCAGACGAGGAGACTGCAATGGCAGGACTTTTACAGAGGTGAAGCCACAGTAGAGCAGACCAAGAAACCAAAGTGTGACACCAGCGGGACTGGAGCAGGTTGGGAGGAGTCTAGCCACAGCCCTGTGGAGCTGGAGCTGGAGCGCAGGAAGGTCACACCTCGTACCCGAGGGCAGACGAAATAAAAGTAGGGGGTGTCAAGGAATAGTGAATCCCATCTTCCCTCTCCTTCCATTCCCTGTCACCCACCAAACAAGCCAACAGCAAAGGAACTTTGTCGTATTTCTTCCTTGGGCCACTGGAATGAAGAACCACAAACTGGGTAGCTCACAAGAGGAATTTGTTCTGTCACAGTTCTAGAGGTCAGACCCCTGAGCCAAGGTGTCCTCAGAGTCCCGCTCCCCCCAAAGCACCCAGGCAAGAATCTCCCCCTGTGTCCTCTAGCTCCAGGTGGCGCCAGGTGTCCTTTGGCTGGTGGCTGCCTCTCTCTGTCTTCTGCCTCTGTTGCCACAGTTTCTTCCCTTCCGCCTTCATCTCTTCTCATAGCTCTCATGAAGTTCCTGGTCATTGCAGTTTGGCTTTCCCAGGTGGTTCAGGATGAACCACGTATGCAGTTCCCTCTACACAAACAATGTGTCCCCACAAAGGCCCGTTTCCCGGGTTTGAAGCTTAGGACATGTCATGTGGGAGGTCAAGCTGCTATTAGAGCTCACACTCTTAGAGTTAAGGCAAGGTAGAGACAGGGAGTGAAATAATTTCATAAATGGGAACCCTTGGGCTTAAATGTGTGTGTGAGAGAGAGAGAAAGAGAATAAAATCGGGCTGGGAAGGTGGCCCAGTGGTAGAGCGCTTGCTTTGCATGCATGAGGCCCTGGGTTCGATTCCTCAGCACCACATAAGCAGAAAAAGCCAGAAGTGGTGCTGTGGCTCAAGTGGTAGAGCGCTAGCCT